AATAACTGTACAACCACAATAATTTGCACCGATGAATCATTCACAACAAGGAGTGAGCAAGAAAGTAATTAGCGTCAATTTCAGGCTGATTTTAAACAGCACGCATAAACAAACATTAATATTACTTACACACTTGGTCTTGCATAGTTCATTCTGCCCCAACCAAAAAAATCCACATGAATACATTTCACAAAATCATAAAAATGTAATTGACCAGACCAATTAATCAATCAATATTTAGTCTATTTTCAGATTATCACAAGTAAAATAATTTAATCAGCCTGGTCGATATTTGGCCTTTTTTAGATTACGAAATAGCCAGGAAAAACAAGTCTCATATTTGGCAATTTTCATATTATTGGCTGATTATTACTAATGGCGGACTGTTTTAAAAGCTTGTCAAATTATCAGTTAATAGCAAGTGTTAGACTGATTTATCAACCAGGCAGATTAAAATCCCTATATTTGGCCATTCAGAATATCAGCTGACATTCATGTGCACATAGCCACATAAGTATTCTTCTTATATCAGGTTTAAATTTACCAACAGTCTTTTAATATTGTGCATTCCCGGTTTTTAAATATTTTTGAGGTATTTAAATGATTTTGCTCTGTTAACCATTAGTCAAAATAGAAACTACTGGTTTTTTTTTTTTTTTTAAATCTTGATGAACAAGTTCAGTCCAATTTTGGTGAATGTATTTATATACAGTCATGTGAAAATGAAAGCACACCCTTTAGAATTTTATAGTTTTATGCATCAGAACATAAAAATCATTTGGTTGTTCACCGCTAAATACAACCTCAGACTTATTACAACAAAGATAAAGCCAAAATGGAAACGCCATGGGTGAAAGACTAAGTACACCCTATGATTCAGTTGCTTGTAGAGCCACTTTTAGCAGTAATAAGATGGAGGAATCGCATCAATCTCTCGCATCATTCTGGAGGAATTTTGACCTGCTCTTCTTTATAACGTTGCTTCAGCTCATTGAGGTTTGTGGGTATTTGTTTCTGCACAGTTCTCTTAAGGTCCCGACGCAACATTTCAGTCGGATTGAGGTCTGGACTTTGACTGGGCCAGAGCAACACTTTGATTCTTTTCTTTTTTAACCATTCTGTACCATTCTGGTATGCTTGGGATCTCTTGCTTCGTCCTGTTGCATTACCCAATAGCGGCCAAGCTTTAGCTGTCGGACAGATGACCTCACAGATTTGACTAGAATACTTTAGTATACAGAGGAGTTCATGATAGACTCAATGACTACAAGGTGCTCAGTACCTGTCTGCGAAACAAGACAAAAAATCATCAAAACTCCATCAGCGTGATGGACAGTTGGTATGAGGTTTTTGTGAGTTTTCGCCTAACTGGGTGTTCAGCATTATAGCCAAACATCTCCATTTTGGTCTCGTCTATCCAAAGGACATTGTTCCAGAAGTCTTGAGGTTTTCTGCAGTTTCTCTGAGCAGTGCATGATCTAACCTTGGGGTGAATGTGCTAGGACGTCCATTCCTGGGAAGATTGGCAACTGTCTTCAATGTTTTCCACTTGTGAATAATTTTCCTTACTGTACATGGACTTCAAATTGATTGGAAATGGCCGTTTAACCCTTCTCAGATTGATGGCAGCAACAATTGCTCCTCTAAGTTCTTTGTATTTTTTCCTTTTTAAGATCCAGAATGCTCCAGAACAGCGAACTGCCAAAACTTCTGCTTTCATAGAGGTGATCACACTTGCTGATGATCAATTACTCAAAGACATTTGATTAGCAGCGCCTGACTGCTGCTTACCCTCTTAATTCATATGGACGAAGTAAAGGTTTATTTAGTTAATGGCACTGTGTAATACGTCATGTGTTGTTGTTAATCAGAGACTGTAATTACCAGATTACTTTTTATGATGTCCTTATAAATAAAACCATAGAACTCAATGGGGTGTCCTTTCTTTTTCAAATGACTGTATACTACCGTTTAGGGAGGTTTAATTTCTTTTAAATTATTTTTTATTCGATCAAAAATACAGTTAAACAGTAATATATTACTACAATTAAAAATAATTGTTTTCTGTTATAATATATTTTAAATTGCGGAAATTTCAGCATCATTAACTATTTTTTTTACTGTCTATGATCATTTCTCATCATTCTAATATGGTGATCTTTTTTCAGGATTGTTTGATGAATAGAAAGTTCAAAAGAATAGAAATTTGAAATAGAAATGTTTCAGAACTTTTTAAATGTCTTTACTGTTACTTTGGATTAATTTGATGGATTCTGCTGAATAAAAGCATTCATTTCTTTCAACAAAAGAACAACAACCTTGGAACGGTGGTGTAATATGTGCAATCTACAAAGAAAAATTTCTTCATTCATACACATCTGTCATGGTCACGAATTGAGGGATTGTGGGTGAAAATCTGAGAAGAGGAAGAGGAGGAAGCGTTCTGTAAGAATGTGATTATGGACTCTCTGTTTATCCCCTGAGATTCTCAAAATCAGAGCGCTGAGGATGCCAACAGCAAAGAGATGAGGCGAAACGGGTAAGAAAGACTGAAATAGAAAAAGACGGTGAGTGAAAGAGCAGGAAATAGCTCTTCTTTAAGTAGGCTATGGCTGTTTGAACCCCAAAAAAGATCCAAGTATGAGAAAGAGAGAGAAAGCACGGAGAAGAAAAGAGAAAGTTAGTGAGTGACTGTTACTTTGGCTGAGAGTCACGTCGCCAGACAACGTACACCAAACAAAGACAGCTTAAAAACAGGACAACAGCGACAGGAAAGACAGACAAGAAAGGAAGAGGATGCGGAAGAAAAGGGTGAGGAAGTGTGAGGGACCTTTTTTTTCCTTTTCAAAGTTTGTTTTTAAGCCTGTCTAGGGGATAATGCTGTGTGTGTGAGTGTGTGTGAGTACCTGTACGTGCGGGTCCTCTGATTAACGGATGCAGTTCTAGCCGGGCTCTGCAGGGGTGGTGCGGTGTTGCGTGTTGGACTCTGCACATAGTCGTTAGGGACGACGGGTGGACGCACAGGCTCAAGTGTCCGGTAAGGGGAGTGCCGCCTGCCAGGGGGGCGGGGTTAAAATATTTTAATATCCTCTAAGGGGTGGAGTCAAACATCATTGATGACAGACCCCAATAATTACATACTGGGAGATATTGCATCACATCTTGTAGAGTAAAAATCCATTTAGAATATTACAACAGTAGCGTTAGAGAAAACCTCACGAGTCATGTCTAATTTATAGTTCTTTGTAGATCTCAAGAGTAACTAGGGTGGGCAGTAGAGTTCGGTACTGAAAAAAATGTGACGCTTTGAGCGCTGTTCAGTGGAATCTTAAACATCTCTGATCGCCCATTGTGGATCATTGGATATGTCTGTGATTGGCTACAATGATCAGCGCTTCAAAAATATGTTGTAAATATCTATATAAATAAAAAAACAGATACGAGACTCGAGGGATTTCGTAAAACATTTACCCTAGAACATGCATGTCCGAAAAGAGAAAGAGAAACTTTTTACACTTCATGTGGTAAAATCATGGAATGAGCTTCCAGAAGAAGTTGTGTGTTCCCCTTCTATTAATTCCTTTAAGAATAGGCTGGATGCATTTTGCCTGTCAAAAGATGTTATGTATAATCATAAATTTTGCCTGTAACTAATGTTATTAATTTTATGTAATTTATTTAGGATGTTAGGAAAACTTCAATTTGGGAAATTAATGTGTGAATTTGTATATATATATTTAGTTTGTATCTTTTAGAGTCTGGAATAGAGGATTGTATTATCCTGTACCAGAAATCTTTTCAATAAATCGTCAATAAAATATACATCAATGACGCTCTTCACCGAGCACTTGTACAGATTAAGAGTGTTTGAAAGCAGACGCCTGTGTTAATCATTCTAGCCAATCACAGACATATCCAATGAGCGTGAGAACACAATGGCCAATCAGAGGTGTTACGTTTTCACTCAACGGCGCTCAAAGCGTCACAATTTAAAAAAGCCAGTCAGAACTGACTTGGTACCGAAATCCGTACTTTTTGACAACTCTACTGGGCAGCATGACCAAAATAGATCAAGTTATGAGTAATTTTATTTCTAAATCTACAAATAATATGAATATTAACTGACTATAAAGTTATTTTAACTTGACTGTCACCTTGCCTATAGACAATTTAGTGAATTAAACACTTTACAAATGAAAGATACTTTACTGACTGAAAAATGGTTTGACCAATCCTTTTTTACACTTTTTGGTTATCGGTTCTTTAAAAGTCTACTGATAAATGACTATGTTTAAATGTACCCTCATAATGCGATTATAATGAGATTCAGGCAATACTGCGATAAAACCATGTGAACACATATTTCACTTAAACTGATTCAATTAACTCATATTAACCATAATCGTAGCAAAAAGTGGTGTATGCCAATTTCTGGGTCACGATAAACAGGCATGTAAACAATCTGACTAAAGTGTACACATGCTTGTGACGTACACATTACATAACACATTTTTGGGTTGCTGAAGAAACTGAGCTCACGTTGACAAAGCTGCACGACATGAATAGATCGCATGATTTTGATGGACGAAAACCAAAAAAAATAAAAATCCATAGAAATGTTTTTTTAAACAATAACGGGTCCCACTCTGCATGTTCACAATAATGTATGTTTCTTCACGGTGTGATGAAACTCTCACGGTAATAAATTCATACAGTTGCATATTATATATCGTCATACTGCCCATCACTAGCAGGAAATTATTATGTAACGCCCGAGTAGATATTTGTGGTGTATTAAGATTGTCTGAATTGCTTGTGGTTGGTCGTTGTGTTGCCATGGTGACAGTGAGGGGTTAGGGGCCGTGGACATGGGCATGGACGGGAAGAACACAGTTGAGCTTTAACAGTAACAAACATCCGCTGTAAAAACTCAATGACATGAAATAATAATAACAGATCACAAACACAACAAGACATTTTGTTCTCCACAGTGACCTGCAGTGGCAGAAAAAGGCACAAAGACTAAAACACACAGATCCAGAACAAATTAGTGTGTCAGTCCCTGAACAGAGAACAAGCCAAAAGTGTTAACTACAACACAGTCGTAGATGTGTGTGAGCCTGGCTGTCAGGGATCAAGATTAGATAAGAGATGGAGAGAAAGAGAATTTTCTTTTTTTTCAAACACCATATCAACACACGTGAACAATAGAATCTCATAATTTAAAGGGGTAATATCATATACATTTTATCATATTATTTTGCTCCTGAATGTTTTTGGTTTTTTTTGCACTGAAATACGATGCAAAAACAATTCAGATCAGACTTAAAATGCTCAGAGACCTTATTAAAGATGCACTCAGATGTAATTTTACTCAGATTGTTCCAATGACTTTCAATGTCAACTTCCAGCAGCACGGAAACATTTTCAGTTATATGTGCTATTCAGTTATTCAAAGGGGAGCTAGCAAGATAAAGAGAAAGGCATTTCAACTGACACCAATGATTGTATTAAGCCACTGATAGGGCTATTTATTTTGTGTGTAAAACTTGAATGAGGAAAAAAATTACTGAGTGGCACCTTTAATATAACAGCCCAAAATATGTAGGACCTTCCCACAATTTACTCTAGTTATTAGTTCTACAGGTGTTCCGAAATAATAGTGCCTATTGTCCTACTTATATTACCTTACCAAATTGGCATTATGGACACAACTAAAATTTTAGTCCTGATAGATAAATTGTGACTGGAGTCATACTGCAATGAGGCTGGTTAGGACACAATGTTATTTTCAACAAATGATTTTTGTGGACTGAAGCCCAAGTTTTGAGTGAAAAATGTGATCCCCCCCTTTAAGGACTGCCTGTTCTTTCTATAAAAATCAAGACCACACAAACTTTTACAGAAAAACAGAAGCTCCTTTTTTATATTAATGAACCACAGCGAGTTTCATCTCCAGTCTAGAAAGCTATTTGACAGAATATTTCTGTTCTCCCATTCAATGAAACTACATCTGTAAACAACTATGAAATGTATGTCTGGGTAAATATCTTATGTTACTTTCAAAACAATACAAATTATTCCTTAAAATGTAAAATGAAAAAAGCAGGTCCTCTATCTAGCTTACCCCAGTGTTCCTTTGCCTGGGCCAGGAGGGCTGGGTGGTTTCTGAGTCGGCGCAGCTGTGCGAGGAGTCGTACCTGCCTTCATATTCTGAGCGTTGACCTGTGGGGCAAGTGTCAAATATTATTAATCTGAGTGGGAACAAATATATATACACAGACATTATACCACATACACAAAACACACATCAACCTAAACCCGACTAAATCCTTACCTTAAACCTTAGTAACCACTACATTCAGAAATGAAGGCATTAAGAAAGGTGAGGAGAAAAAAGAGATACAAACCGTTAGTGTAAAGAGTAAAGAAACACAATATCTCACACAAAATACATTCATATTAATAAGGATGCACAATCTGCCAATATTACCATTTTTTTAAATGGTAACTTAAAGGTGCCGTAATTGATTCTCTGCAGAAATTTTTTTTTGTTAACCTGGTTGAAAGTCTCCTCATATCCTGATAGCAATCACTCTGTTAATCACTCGGTCTAAATGTATTTTTTATAAATATATGGCGTCTTTGGTAGGCGTAGGACCATAAAATGTTCGTTCAATCATTGCGTTCTGCGGTCAACGGTTCTACAGCATGTGTTCCCTGTCGGTCAATGTGTGTTTGCATACCACAACGCAGTCTGTTCACGCAGACATGAGTCATCAGCGCATTCAACTTCACGTACGCTGTGCAGTCAGAGCGAGAATGGCAAGCAAGCAGAAACCACCGAACTTTCCTTCAGAACCGACAACAAGTGGAACTGGCAAACGATCTACGATCCATATATGAAGAGTTCAGATGCAAAAGCCTCTAAATGCCATTTGAAATTTTCTTCTTTAATGATGATTTTTATCAAACTTGTATATTTAAGTTCAGTAATTTCACTTAAATAACAATTAATAGGTAATTATTATTGCCATTTAAGTGAAATCACTGAACTTAAATATCTACGCTTGATAAAAATTATCATTCTAGAAGAAAATTTCAAATGGCACTTAGAGGCTTTTGCATCTGAACTCTTCATATATACATCGGAGCCAAGCAGACTGTCATCGTGGAAACCCTTATTACACACTGACAAGTTTTGCTAGCTAAAGTAAACAAACGAAAACTTGCTGCATCAAATTCTGTGTTTACTAATTTGTTTACGATTGGTAGCGATTGTAGTGTTACTAATGCCAAGTTCAGACTGCACGATTTTAGCTCGTCGACAGGTTTTGAGAAATCGCCAACAAATGCCGAAATCACAGGCAAATCGGCGCTCGTTCACGTGAGTGACAATCACGCAGTGCGAATGAGCAAAGACGCGATCTGAGAGAATCGCAGACGAGTCGCAGATGCCCGTGAGATATTAGGCATGATAAATATCTGGACCTGTCGGCAATTCTAAATCCTGCTGTGTGAAAAGTGTTCTGACTGAAAACTACATCGGAGATTACCGACAGCCAATGAGAGAGCAAGATCCAGAGCAGCGGGGAGAAGCATCGTAAACTTGAAAGCTACACACGATGTGTATTTGATATGAATAATATGTGTTGTCTAATTATAATGGAAATAATTATTATTTCTGCTTTCATAGACATAAGTGTGTATTTGACAAACTCTAAATGTATTGCTTTTTTAGTAACTTATGTGAATTTAAATGTCTGAATCTAAAATACACACTATGTGGTTGAAAACACTGAATAGTAGTGATGTCAAGAGGTGAGCGCTCTCCATCTCTGGCTCAGAAAATATGTGTAGCCTACAACAAACCAGGCTTATTGAAGACACTAAATTAGTTAATCACTTAATTTTTAACTTTCAAAGTGCACCATATTTATGAATTTATCTTTAAAATGTACAAACTTTTCTTCTGGGGGACCCCAGGCGCAGATGGTCCACACTACACAAAATACTGTGGGAAACACAGTGGCTTATATGATAGTCTTCGAAAAATACAATTATTACAAACATTATTAGGATTTTACCACCTCATTAACCCATTGATGTTATCAGAGGCAAAATACAAACACAATTGCATTAAACTACTGTCGAGTTTTTGTTTTTAAAATGTCATGTTGATAAAATACATTTTAACTAAAGCCTAGTTTATTAACATTTTGGGGGGGGGGGGGATTGCGGGGCAGGTGTGGGGCAGGTGTGGGACGAACCCTTCCCTGCCTTCAAAGTGGGGAATGGCAGAAAAAGTTTGAGAAACACTGATTTATACCAAAACATGTAAAACATGTAAAAGAAAAAAGATATTTATCACATTTGAACTTGCATATTTTCACATTTTACAATTTTTTTTTTTATTTAATTATTTTAAATGCTCTGAATTTCCCCATATCTGAAGCAGATAAGATCAGGACATCTAATTTCATTTTCAACAGATTACTCCTTTTATGTGCCCCAAAATTTCTATATCATATTTCTATACCCACCACCCCAAAAATATATTCAGGTTTAATCATATTTAACTGAATACAAATTCCACCCTAGTCAGCGGCGCTCATACAAATGCAGACATACAGAGTTTGGCTTCATCCCTACCTTTACGCCGTGGCCTACATCATCCAGCAAACTGTAGTCAATGGGTTTGCGGATGTAGCGTACAGGCCTCTCGGGATTGGCTGGTGCGATGATCTTGTGCGTGCGGGAAGTGTTCTTATTGGTGGTGAGGATGCCAATCTCTCGCCTGGCCACCTTCTCTTTATGGATGTCCACCGTCTGCGGAGGAACGGTGTGTGATTTGACGTATACAGAAATGTACATACGATAGTAACGAAACAAATTACAGGATTTTGTATGAAATCAAAAAGAACAAAACATGAATGACAAGCAGTCTGTAGAAGAGATTTCCCAAGTCAACAGACCATAAAATATCAAATCTAATTTGATTAATATAAAAGGACTGCTATTTGCCAAAGTTTAAAATTTAGGGGTTTTTATTTTAATAAACCAGTTACCTTAAATTATGAGCAATAGTAAGAGTAATGCTTTCCTTAGAAAATTAAATGAATGTAGAAACAAAACTCCAATGTTCAACTCACAAAATGCAATTTACCAACAACCCTAGATGTTTCTATCGCAGTAAGAATTACCTGTGAGATGTGGTTGATGGACGACTCCATGCGGCGTAGCTGGGACGCCTGTATATCCAGCATCTGGAGCACATTGTTGGCAAGAGTGTTGATCAGATACGCTACACTGGCCAAAGACTGAGTGGTGTAGCTTTTGGTTTCTTCTAAAGCTCTGTGCTTATCTGGAGACTAGATGGAGAGAAAAGAAGGAGAGAGGGAGTTAATCTGAGCACAGAAGGATGGATAGAGGTGAAAGAGAACATGATATTGCAACATGGCCTAATTTCTACTCCCTCGTTTTCACTCCGCTTCAGGGGTGAACGTCTGATGCATATGGCACACAAAATGGGAAACACTTCAAGACATTTGAAGTCATCATCTGATTGGTTGAATAAATCTGATTCTGTCGTAAGGCCAAACCCCCTCATGGAAGAAGAAAGCCATTGTGTTGTTTACACATATTAACTAAATGCTGGATTTTCAAAAATATGTGAAGTTCACGGCTCCATCGTTGCAGTAAACTTGCATTATTGTATGGATAATTTATTAGATGCATGCTGGTCTGTTATCATATGGACATCAACTTTCCGTTTTCACACCCCTAAACATGGTGCAGAATTAAACGAACTGTGATTGGTTACTTTAAATGTCACTCACGGGCGGTTCTTGGACAATGAAAGCTGCAATGGAGTCCAGACATTCTGCATTCAGTCTGCAAGGTCTAGCTACGCAAGACTGAGACAAGCAAAGCCAAGTTCACGTGTGCATTTATGTCCTTGTGTGCATATTTAAGTTATAATATTACTTTTATGTATGCATATGATTCATTTCCCATAGGACGCATTTGATGGAGTTAATAATTAATTAGCCAGCAAAGCACTCCGGTTTGCCAGTGTTCACTCACTTAAAGTCCCCGTGAACCGGAAGTTGCAAACGATTTTTCTCCCGTGCTGTGACGTATTTCCAAGTAAAACGGAATATTGAACAGAGGGCAGGGTTTTACTCTAGCGCTCCTCCTCTCCATCTCTCGCTCATAGCAAACTAACGGTTTGAGGGGAGTGGTTAAGCATTTCCCCACCCAAACTGTGAAACCTACGTCATCAACCGTTTCAGACCGGAAGTAACTTTTCAGATTTTGATTAAAGATTACCAAGGTAAAACATTTTTTTAACATATATTTACTTGCACGGATTAATTGTTCACCACAAGACTAGTAATATGCGCTAACAAAGTAAATAAGTTCAATTTTGATTTCACGGGGACTTTAAATGGCAATGCCGACATTATTGACTTTTATTGGGTTATTTGAGACAGTCATATTCCTTTTAGATGTTTCTTTTTCAGAAAAAAAGTAGAATATTAATAGTAATCCAGTTCTATGTTCTTCATATTTTTTCAACAGTAAGACTTTGTTTTAATTAAAATCGTTTATGCAAGATGCAAGATGATGTGCAGCGCCAATCTTCCATTTATTTAACATTACAATGAGAACACTATAGAATTAAATTGTTGTGTTTAGTTGCCCGTGTTTCAGCAAGTAGTAGAGGGCATTCACAACGGGAATAACACTTTCTGGCTAACATGTAACCTACTTCAATTTGCATCCTGTTGTACAGTTACAAGCTGTAATGTTACGTTCATGTTGTACATCATGCCATATGAGTGGCACAGCAAAAGACGCAACAAGTGAGCAGAATGATCAAATATGATCGTTTACAAAGAAACAATGGAAAAACAGCACATTGGCATGCAAAATACAAATTGTATTTTGCATTCAAACAAATCATGCTCTCCAGCGCCATGCTTTTTAAAATGCGTGTTGCATCATCGGTAGCCGTTGTGTCCCGAAAAGCTAAGACTGGAGGTCTTCTAATAGCATTTCGTTGAGTTTTCCTTCAGGTGAACAGGTTTGTAATTTCAAACAAACTGCAACTTGACACAGCGAACAAACAAACAGTACTGTATGAATTACTGACTGTGAAAAACATGAACTATTGACATGACATGAACTATTACTGATATTTTCAGTCAGAGAAAAAGAAGCTCCAGAAAAGAAAGTTGCTTTATTTTATGGTAGTCGGTTATAAAGAGACGAGACATGGGCTATCTGACAATTAAAATAAAAACATGACCGTGATTAGGAGTGCACGATATATCGGCCAGCAAATCGGTATCAGCCGATATATGTTCATTTTTAATGTTATTGGCCTGGTAAAAAAATGTGGCCGATATATTAAAGCCGGTAAATAATGTATTATTCCCTTCAGCTGAGACACTTGTTGAGCACTGTTTATGTTTTTGAATTTCTTGAAATATGATTGAAATCTCTTCAAAAAATGAAAATACGGTTCGGTACAACATGTGCAGCGCAAATCTGTCATATCGGCTTTTCAACACTATAATGAGATTATAATTGTGCGCTTGGGACATGGATTTAATTGTGAGACTTTTGTTTTTGTAATCAGGCTCTCAAAATTAGATACAAATTTGTATTCAAGTTTATTGGCCGATATATCGGTTTTCAAATATAAATAATTATCGGTATCTGCCAAAATTTTCATATCGGTGCATCCCTAACCGTGATTGCCTTTATGATTTGGTCTGATTTTTTCAAATGTTCACCATGAATTTTTTTTACTATGCGCAAACAATGCAAGAACAATCATATGCTCTATTAAAATATAATGTTATCGAATTTCTAGGTTACAGAAAGTAAACAAACAAACCTTGTTTTTAGAGCCTTTTCTACTTGTACTTTACTCAATATAGCTGCTAACTTTATTCGAGTATTTCTTCTCCTGTGGCTCGGCATACGTATGATCCACCATAGAAAATAAAATTGCAATTCAGCTTTTTAAAATTGCCGGGTTTAGACCGCCTATGGTTTAGACAAGCGCCTCTCACTGCTCTGCTCATCCGATTCTGCTGCTTCAGTCACGTGACACTGGCTCTGAACGAAACACGTTGCGGAAACGCGTTTGCCTAGTACTTTTTGATCCTCTCTGCTATTATAGTTTTTAAGATGACATGGAAGCCTCTGTGGAATTATCCGTCCCATGTATATAAAGATAATAAATTCTTCCTTTACAAAGAAGATAATTGGCAGAGGTATTTGTACACCACTGAGGACATATTTATGAGTAAAAATATTGGTTTTAGATAACAAATTACCTAAAAAGTTCCTTTAAAGTATCAATTAACTTTGTATTATTTCTTATTTTAATAAACACAAAACAATCATGTTTTATTAAGAATTTGATATGAATGATGAATCATACAAATAGAAACTCACAAAGGTAAAAATGGAAATCAATTTAATGAAAAATTTGAAATCATTTCTGTCAATGCGATGAACCAACCATTGTGTAGAATATGAAAAATATGAAAAGCTTTGGGTTCTGTCATGGTATCAGTATAAAAAAAAAAGTATAATATTGTCACGCAAAATCCCCAAATATATTGAGACACCATTTGTTAATATGGCACAACCCTACTCCCCTTCATGATTAATTTCCTATATAAGAACAAACTAATTTAAACAGACACTGAAGCAACCAATCAGAGCAAAGCACTACCATGAAAAAAAAATAAAAACTCGTCTCGGATCTCTGCCTCATTGGCTGCCCACACAGCCATCATTCATTCCCTTCCGGCGTAACCATGGTGATGCTGTCAAATATATGGGAAGGCCCACTGATGAACGGTATGGTGAGTGAGGATAGTGGGGGAGGAGGGTAGTGTGTGAGAAACATGCTCTATATAGCATTCACAGCAGATGAAACCGCTTCAATGATCACTTCAAAACAAACTAACATAGTAATTCAATAAAAGTATTCTATGACTTCTGCACCTCTTCGAAAGCCAAAGAACCAATGTTGCTTTGGCGTCAATAATAATGTCAGATCTGGCATGAAAGGCACATTTTGATTTCTGACATTTCGATTTCAGTGTTTTTCACACTTCTGAAAAATTGAGCAGGAATTGTTTGGACTACTTTTATGTTGCATTTATGCTCTCCATTTTCATTGTATGGACAATTGGCCATTTGATGTTGCACTGAAGAGCGGCAATCACAGAGTGTTTGAATGAGACGATAATGAGGAGATTAACTATGGAAGAACAGTCATCATCGCACGCATCAGCTCGAGATAAAAACCTTCTTTGGTCGTCTACGCTTTAAGCAAAACATCAAACCCTCCGTTTTGTTCAATAAAACACCAGAAATCCAGAGAACTCACTGACTTTACTATCAGATGCATAAAAAAGGTTCTTCTATGACACCTGTGCAAATAATGCAACAATTAATCTGGCTTTTATTCATTATTTGTGGCATGACAATAATAGGAATCTCTCTGAATAACCTCGCTAACATATCTTTATGCAATATGCATGAATTGAGGATGAGGGAAATATTGGGTTACTAAACTAAACTGAAACCAGACCACAGGCAAGCAAGACTCATATCAACACGAGCTTCACGCTGTTATGAAAAGAAATCTAAGCTTGGTCACTTAAAGCTATTTATGGTATTTCGGAGCCTGCTGTGACAATGAAGTGAGAGGAATACAATGATTTATCACAACCAGAAAATGCAGTCAGGCTCAGCGAGCATCATCACTATGTGCTCTGCACGATTCCTACGGGTCTGAATCAGTTCCAATATGAACTGAGGTCCCCCTGGGTCAAATCACAAAGAAAACATCTTTACAACTATCAGCTCTCGCTCTTAAACTAAAACCATATGGTTTTGCGCATTGACAGACCAGCAAGTATGCAATATTTATAAAGAATGCATCACGATTCAAAAGTACTCGAATCAGCATCCTCAGAGAACAAACTCATATCCAGTGACATTCAGTCACTGATCTGCCAGGGTCCATGTGACATGGCATGCACTGTATTTTTGGAGCAATAAATGTCAAGAGTTAGATTTCTGATGCTCTCTAAACAGAGAAGTGCATATCCTTACATGCCCACGTCTGTGGATCCCCCAGGAATGCTGAAAATAACATGAATTTGGTCATTCATTTTTGTTCCAGAAGCACTTCACAGTTTCCAGAGTGAATCATCAAACTCATGCGAGCCGAGGAAAAACTGTTTTTACCATAGTTCTTGCATAAGCTAACGTTATATGCTAGTTTAACTAAGGTATTATGTGTACTTAACTAAGCAAGCACTTCATTAGACCAACATAACAACAAACAAACAAACGGTATTTGTTGTCAAAGAACAGCCTTAACAGAATTAAAAATCCACAGAAATTAAGAAAGGCTAACTTAGATGCCACATTTAAGTTAGTCAATTGGACCATAGTAAATTTTAGCGATTGCGAAAACGAGTACTTGTCACAAACACATATCCCCCTTTGGTCTACAACCTAATTTTAACAACAACTTAATATTAATTTTAAAAATATATAGTAAAACGCTTAATATAAATAGATAACTACACTTAATTGTACATTTATCAAACAAAAACATTGCCCAAAAGCCCTCGGCATTTAACGTTAGCCGCCGAGCTAACTTCAAAAACACTGCGCTGCTTTGTCCACAAAAAGTAACATTCGTTATACACAATTTTAAATGATAACACTCCCGTTTAAATAATAGTTTAAACTCATAGTACATGTAAAAAGAGGGGAAACAAACTGTCCTTGGATGTGATACATTTGAGGTTTACACATTGGTTTCGCTTCGGCTAGCGCGTTAGCCTAGCTCAGCGTTTGAGGCCCCATATCTGTACCATAACACTGAAATGGTCAAAAAAACGCATACAAAGTGTGTTATGTGTTGATTTGGTGTATTATAAACCATAAATAATTACAAAGCAGTTGAAATATGGTGATTTCAGTCAACTCGACTGCCTTGTCACACGACAACACAAGCAGTCGGATCATTCATCTCTGGTGTCATTTCTCCGGTGTTTTTAGATATTTTTCAGGGTTTTGTAATGTCACCTGTATGTAGTTGCTCTCGCAGTACTCGGCGACTCTCTCTAGGTTGGCGTAGCTGTCCAGCAGAGCTCCTCGACCAGCAGGAATCTCCTCTTCCAACAGCATCTGCAGCTCCGCCATCTTCACATCTTACTGATGCATGCAAGAGGAAAACACCACCATCACACTCCCTCTCCCTCACTGAAACATGCAGGAGGAAAACACCATCACATAACCCCGTCTCTCTCTCTTTCACATTCACACATTCTCTTTCCTCCTCCCCTATACGTTTCTTTCTATTCGTCACCCTATTCTGTCTTTTTGGTGTATTTTTTATGATATCCAGACAGACAAAGATAGCCAGACATACAGAGATATACATTTTTATTTGTATTAGTATTGAAAGATTTCAGTTAAAAGATTGGATTCATTGTTTACTTTATGAAATGTTGTTGACCGTGGCATTTTGACGGAATGAAGCTCTAAAAACTGTGGCATATAGTTTCAATAACCTGGACCATTTTTATATGACATCGCATTGATCTCATCAATTGCTGCCCGACACAACGTTAAGCACATGCCATTGTCCATGTATAATTCACATTTCCCAGAAGAGGCTGTCATGGACGTGAGATACGAGTCCTTCAGTTCCTCTTGCTGACTGTGATCCAGGTGTCATCTTTAGGTGTGGTCACCAGCTCATACCTGGCCTCAACCACCTGCCCTTTAATACTGTGCAGTCTCAACCTGCGCACCAGCGTGCTGAGCAGCATTGCGGCCACAGTATATGCAAATCTGAAAAGGGGAAGAGAAGCGACAGGGAGAGATTTGTGAACTAAATGACATTTGAATGTTTCCTAAAGGAATAGTTCACCCATATGATGGAAATCTGGTCATTATTTACTCACCCAAATGTTGATTAAAACATTGTTTTTTTTATTTGACAGAACAAAACAAAAAAAACAGAGGTGCCAGGGACCACTAGGGGGCCTCAGGACACTTCAAACGGGGCCACACGACAGCATAAATTGATGACAAACCAGCTTCATAATAAGCTACAGTAAAACAGCTGAAAATCAATTTTTAAACTGATATTATACTTGTTATTTTAATTCTCTTAAAAACTTTTGGTAACGCTTTACTTGAAAGGGTGTGCATAAGACTAACATGATCATGACATGATGACATGAATATGAAGGAAGTTTTATGCATGTTTGTGACAACTGTCATTAAGTGTCATTCGCTCAGTTATGACATTTTTTATGCAAATATGACATTGTTTGAGATGTCTTTGTTATGACACCTTGACATAAACCAATACATCATAACCTGTCACTGTCTTTGTCATGACAACTTGACATTACTAAGACAACACAACCTGTCATAAACATGGCAATTATCAAACTTAAGAAACCCCCTAGCTTTATTGGTTAACATTACATTAAACTGTCATGTGGATGGTTTTGACATTGGCTGTCATGAAGCCATTATAACTTTTTAATGACAAATTCAATTAGTACCACTGTAGTTGAGGTCACGAAAAATATTCATGACACAGTAATAATGGCCTCATGACAGCCAATGTCAAAGCCAACCACATGACAGTTTTACTTAATTTTATGTCAAGTTGTCATTGATACTGACAGGTTATGATGTTATGGTTTATGCCAAGATGTCATAACACTTAATGACAGTTGTCATAAATCCTATTTCATATTCAAGACATACGTCACCATCATGTCATGGTTATGAAGGTGTCATGCCAGTCTTATGCACACCCCTTCAAGTAAAGTGTTCATTTAAACTGCCCCTATTATGCTTTTTCAGATATAACCTTTCATGTATGTAGTTTGTAATGTGTCTGTTTGTGAATGTAAACGGACTGCTTGATAAATGGAGAACAAAAGAAAGAACAGATTCTGAACTGCCTGAAAAAGAGACATCAGTAATTCCAGTCTTACTTCCTGGACAAAACAATGTAGGTTTACACCTAATTTGCATAATGAGGGTGAGTAAATGATGACATCATTTTTCATTTCTGGATGAACTATCCCTTTAGGATAATATCTGTGTTTCTTTTTACCTTAGTTCAGGGCAGGCCTGACTCCCTGAAAACCCAAGCAGCGAGAAGCTCTTCATCACGGACTCATCAGCAAATCTATCAGGGTTAAACCTTTCAAGGAAGACAAACTGATATGAATACCAGCAAAGCATGAACCTTACACAACCTTGTATGGGATGAACATACACAAACACACCCCTACCTGTATGGAAGTGACCAAGTATCTGCATCTTGAAGGACGACACCCAGGGCATAGATAACCAAAGTCTACAAACAACAAGTCTTGTTAGCATGCCTCTCCTCTATCAAAGTCAAGCTGTATTAATAATAACAACATTATAGGCGAGTTACAGCACTATACTGACTAGACTAAATATAATTAACAGTATCTAAAAGCTAAATAAAAATGAACATGCAAGTGTAGAATTTTGTAAATGATTGGCATTTAAATCCTGCAGTTTTTCTTGTTTTTGTGTTGGCCTGGTAATGAGAAAGGCAGGTTCTTACTTCTTTGGGAATGAGGTGTTGGTCCACCTTGCCCTCCACCTCCTGTAATCTGGCAGCCATGGGTGTCAGTTTGGCTGTGCGGACAGTTTCATTCAGCACTTGCTGGCAGTATCTGGTGGGGAAGACATGAAAAAGTATGATGATTTCCATGTTTTATTACTTACAATTTTTTTTTTAACTTGGTGGGCTGCCTAACTATAAAGTTATATTGCAGTTATGCTGAGCTGTCTTATGAATTTGCCAATGTCCCACCTGTTATATTCAGGCCAGGCACTATTCTGTTTCTTTAAGTTCTAAATGATCCTTGTTTACCACCTAAGTAGGAGGTAAATATATTATTGTGTGAATATACAAATGTTGCATCTTTCACTTTTCACTTAAAGCTACACTGTGTGATTTTTGCCCCCATCTAGTGGTGAAAAGGTATATGACCATCCAGTGAATATTAGTTTCTGTTCCTCTCAATTCCGATTTCGTTTTAACTCCTACGGTGGCCAATGTAGTCCAAGATTAACATGGCTTCCAGTTCGACCTCGTCCATGAGTGTTAACTCCATGAGAGTTAAACGCGAAAGGCGAAGCTTGAATTAACGGGTATGTCCCTCTTTGGCTAATTTACTTTCAAGATGGAGGGGCAACATGGCAACCGACATTAGAACCCCTTAACCGTATGTATTTTTAATGGCATATTATACACTCACGAGAATACTTTATTACTTGAATGAAGTAAAAATACATTAATGAGCACATATTTTTGAAAGAACTTTAATAAAAGAATGATGACGATTTCCAGTTTACCCTGCAAGGTGTTTTATTGAAATTGCACAAATGCAACACATACCCCTTGGTGGTATATGTACAGAGAAAAAGAAAAAAATTATAAACTATAAACACCATCTCTTTTTTTCTCCACTAAATGGAAAACTTTTGGGCTTGGTTTCACAGACAGGGCTTAGATTAAACCAGAATTAGGGCATTTAGGTAGCTTTAAAAACATGACTTAGAAAAAAAAAAACATTATCCCCAGGTTTCACAGACAAGGCTTATGCTTAGTCCCAGACTAAATTGTAAGAAATAAAATGTGAGATGTTAACTTAACCGTCTTAACTAAAAACAACTTGCACTTAAATATCTCAAAATATATTTCTCAAGATGCAAACCAGTAATGTTTTTTTTCTAAAGCACGTTTATAAAAGCTACTTAAAGGGGCATTTGGCAACTCTAGTCATTCGCTGATTTTCACTTTTGTTGTCGCATGTTGGAATTATGAATTATGTTGAATTGCCATAAAGCAGTTTGTGTTTCTCGCTCGTTCTCGCTTCTCACAAGACTTCTATTTCCAACTTACCAGGATGTTAGTCCCCATGGGGACACTGGGGGGAGTGGGGAAAGTCACCATTCTTTCCATAACAGGTTACTGAACCATTCAAATAATTTCCAAACAGTTTTATTAAGTTGAAATAGTTGCCAAGAGCCCCTTTAAATGTCCTAAATGAACTAAGGTCTAATCCTGGCTTAATCTAAGCCCTGTCTGTAAAACCAGTTAATGAGATGAAGATTAATCACTTACAGTCATCATGATTTATCATCTGCTGAATGAAAAAAAAGACTCACCTAAGCTGTGGAATCTTCTCTAAGGAAACAGGCTCATCTCCGAGGACTTCAACAAGTTCATTATAGAGCCGATCCTGCACTGCTTCTGAGACTGATAGGAAGTGAACTGCCCAGATGCACACTGGGAAATGATACAGATGAGAATAACAGAAATGCAAACATGAAAGTGAAACAGAAGAGATTATTATCGTTAACTAAAACTTTTTTGTTAACTGAAATAAAATAAAAAAAATAAAAAAATTCAAATCACTTAATCGTGATTAATCACATCTAACATAAGTTTGTAAAAAAAAATTATAAAATAAAATGTTATATATATATATATATATATATATATATATACACACACACACACACACACACACACTTTTAGGTTAGATGTGATAAACCAAATAAAAATAAAATCCGTTATAAAAAACTATATTCAAATATTACTAAAATAACACTGGAGCTACAGAAAAGAGAAATTGAAACTCACAGTTAGCAGTGATGACACAGCCAGCTAGAGTAAAAACCATCCCATCCTCCATCACCTGAACACAGCAAAACATTTAAAAATTGTTTGTACAAATGTATGGACGCACCAATATGAAAATTTTAGCCGATACCAATAATTCTTTATATTCGAAAGCCGATAACTGATATATTGGCCGATAAATCTATATCCAAATTTTTATATAATTTTTGAGACCCTGATTACAAAAACAAAAGCCTCACCATTAAAAGCCAAGCACACAATTTTAATGTTCTCATTATAATTTTATGTAGCCTAAATGACAGAAACGCACTGCACATAAATCCAAATAATCCATTATTTATAGCCTTTATTATATCGGCCAAATTTTCTCTTCGATATAGTGGCCGATATATCATGCATCCCTAGATAAAGGTGGAAATAATAATAATAAGTCAGTATTTTATTTAAAAATGTGTTGAGATGTCACCTGCTGCTCTGTCAGATTGGCCTGTAGTAAATAGTTAACAAAAGATGAGTGACTGGATCCTTGCCCAACTCTCTGCTTTCCCACAGACTTCAACACTGACTCCATCTCAGCCAGAGCTGCAAATAACAAACCCACATGATCAATTGACACTGAACAATCAAAAATAAAGCCAGCACTATAAAAAGAAGCTTTCTTACCACTCTCATAATGGGCCTTTCTGCTGGAACTCTTCTCTCCATCCAGATAACCTTTACCGATCTCTGACCAGATCTATTCAAGTTCACAATTGTATACATTTCCGTGTAAAATATCACTTTCTATCTGTTAAAAATACTATTTTGATGCGTATACGAAGCTAAATGACTGATGAACGCTCACCGCTTCATGGTTCTTACGAAACCGAATGACCTCAGCATCATCCTGAAAGCGACTCCCCATGGCAAGCTGAGTGACAGCCTTCATTGCCAATCCAAGCAGATGAGCACAAAGTGGTGTGTGCTGTGATTCAGGATAAGATGCCCACTTATCAACCAGCTCCTCCACCAGCTAAAATAGAAGAATTACATGTCCATAAACAAAAAAAGGGGGCAATTTCTTATATAATCCTTATTTAGTATTGTTCATTACATGGAGAAAATAAAATCTAATCAGTTTAAAGGGTTAGTTCACCTTGAAACAAATTTTTGGTATGTTTTAGCTTACCTCCAAGCATCCAAGATGTAGGTGTCTTTGTTTCCGCAGTAGTTTAAATTTTGATATTTTTAGGATATTTTTAAACTATACTGTTTGTTTAAGTCTTAGGCCATCAATGTGTATTTACATTTACAAGTTTAATTTGGTTTAATCATGTTTAAATCATGTTTAATTTGGACTTCTCTGTGCATTCTCTTTGAGGTGGTGACCATAAACCTCCATTATATTATATATATGACCTAAATTTAGGTCAAATTAATGGTTAAATCTCAATTAAATAAATAAAAAATCTCTAAATTGAAACTACTGTGGAAACAAAGACACCTACATCTTGTATGCCATTGAGGTAAGCTAAAACATACCAAAAATTAATTTCAAAGTGAACTATCCCTTTAATATCAGAAATAGTTCAAGAACCTTAGTGTAAGGCAAACATCATTTGGTCAGATTAATTAAATGAAAAGAACTTTGTTGCTGTGGGGCCTAAAAAATGTGAAACAAGTGATACATAAACCCCTCACAGACCTGAAGCAATAGAGGGAAGTTGTTCTCCAAGGTTTTATTGATAGCTCCCTCATACACCTTTTTTCTTATCATCGACTCAGTCGCTCCCACTCCTGAACCTGACTGGTAACCAAGCAGCGACTTGAGCATTGTCTCAAAGGAATCCGCTGAGGAAAGGGTACAAACATGTCTTAGATAAAGCATGCATAATAATATGCAGAATAAATGACTTATGCTACTTTATAGACTACTGTTAAAAAGTTTAGGGTCAGAAAGTAATGTTTTTTTAAAAGAAATTAAACCTTTTATCCAGCAAGATATAATTGAGCTAATCAAAAATTACATTAAAAAGACTTTTCTGTTACAAAAGACTTATATTTCAAATAACTTTTCTAGGAAAAGTTCTAGAAATCCTGAAAAACGACTGTGTCACAGTTTCCTCATAAATATTAAGCAGCACCACTGTTTTTAACACTGATAATCATAAGAAATGGTTCTTGAGCAGCAAATCAGCTTATAAGAATGATTTCTGAAGGATCAAGTGACACCGAAGACTGCAGTAATGATGCTGATTATTCAGTTTTGGATCACAGGAATATATTACGTTTGAATATTTTCAATTTGAAATAACTTTCATGTTATTACTGTTAATGTACTTGATCAAATAAATGAAGCCTTGGTGAAATATATGATCAAATATGTGAATTTCATTAAAGGTATAGCTCACTCAAATATGCTAATTTTGTCATCATGTACGTACTCATCCTCATGTTGTTACAAACCTGTATGAGTTTCTTTCTTCTGTTGAAGACAAAAGATGCTATTTTGAAGAATATGTGCAACCAAAAAGTTGAAGGTAGCCATTAATTTCCATAGTATTTTTTCCTACTATGGAAGTCAATGGCAACCGTCAACTATCTGGTTATTAAAATATCTTATTTTTTTGTTCAACAGAAGAAAGAAACTCAAACAGGTTTGAAACATCTCGAGAGTGAGAATGAAATATTTTTTTTTAACTATTCCTTGATTTTCAGAGCTTCATTTATATCTAACATTATTTTCTTGTGAAAGGCTCCTCACTGGTCCAGTTGGGGTTGATGTGTTGTCGCAGTTGGTCCACAGCGCCCAGGCTGACCACTGGTCTCCTGCCGAACCAGAAAGATGCCACTGACCCAAACTCATCATGGAGACCCACCAGGAACTCATGCAGGCTTCCTTTGTTCACTATATCTTGCAGATTCCCATCTCTGGAAAAGATGTTTGGGAAAAATTGACTAGAGATTGAAAGGAAAGAGAAGGATATTTATTTACTGCTTAATTAACTTACTTCTCTTCAGTGGGATTTAGTCCAGGAACACCTGAGGCTCGTCTAGAAGACTGGCAATAAAACAAGAACACGTAGGGTTAATACAGTTAACCTTAGCTGTGATGACTCCCCCTCAAATGTAATAGTCCAATGACTACCTTCTAAAGGCAGCAAGTCAGAATTGAAACCAAACTCATTTAATAGCGATTCAAACATATATTTCATATAAAACAGGATCACAACAAACTAAAGTTACGCAACAATTTGCAATACTGATCAGGTAATATTATAAAATTGTTCACCGGATACAAATACAGGACGGCACCGATGAGGATAATGACAAATGTCACTGCAAATATAGCAAAATCCAGCATATTTGCTTTTCAGAAATGTCTAAGGATCGTCATAAATGTAATTAATCTGTTCAGTGAACTAGTAGCTAACAATCCACGTCTGCAGTCAGCATCAGAAACCTGCGCCCCTGTTGATCGGCGCTCAACTACACATCCTGTAAACAAGGCTAAAACAATCAATCGCAGAGAGGATGGGTTTGTTTTTTGGGAATTTATTTATTTTTTTATCTACATATTCTATGATTAATTCTATTTAGTACCACATGTGCCCAAACTGGTTCAAATAAATATTATTATTTGAGTTTTATTAAATATATGTTTTTGAAGTTTATTTTTATTTTAAATAGACGTTATTTACCACATGGGTTTGTTATTAATTAAAGGGGCGGAGCTAATGTTAATTGGGGTCGTTATGAGCTCTTTAAATGTGACACGCAGGAAAAAAACGTTCTTAGCGAAAATAAGAAGCAAAAATGTTGGTAATTGCAGCATCAATTGCGTTTACGCTTAGTGTATGTTTAAGCAATGCTCAGGATCCACAGTTTCCCTGGCAAATCCCCCAAAGTCAGGCCGGTGGTTCACCGGGTCTGATGGAAGTGTTTAATCCCCAGAAGAGCCCCTCCTCCGGGTCTCAGCGCTGTGTGGTGGAGCCGCACGAGCGCATTGCGTGTGGAGAACCTAAACTCAATCAAGAAGAATGTGAAGACATTAGCTGCTGTTATGATGCACATGGCTGTTATTATGCCAAGGCAGGTGAGTACCTGCACGACACCGTGAAAATGGATGATTATATTGTGATCAACTTAGCTACATTATCATTATAGTCTAAATTTGTAATATAGAAAATATTTTTGATTTGTAATATTTCACAATATTGATGTTTTTGTTGTTGTTTTACTGTATTTGATCAAATAAATGCAGCCATAGTGAGTGTAAGCAACTTCTTTCAGGAAAAAAAAAAAAAAGCTTGTTCCATATATTTGACCAGTAGTAAATCAAGTCAATTTGTATAGTGAAAATTTTAGTTTGACGGCTATGGTAGTTAAATTTTTTTCTAAAATTGTTTTCATTCATTTTTCATAACAACATATTTGATCTAATATAAACGTCCTAAATTGATCAAATCATGATTTAATAATTAGTCATCCATGGATTTCCCAGTGTTTTACTGTGGATATACTCCAAATACCACAGTTAAACTATGGTTTGTACGTAGAAAATATATATATACTGTCTGGCCAAAAAAAAAGTGTCTGTTTGGATTTAAATATACAATTCTGACTGGAACATTATTATATTTCTGGCATGTTATATGTTTGGCAACAGTTTTTCTAATCCTAATAGATGGTGTGTAGCTCTATTCATTTAATAAACAACCATATGGATGTGCACATCATGGCCATATTCCAGGACAAAGATGTCTAGATTCATCAGGCTCAAATTGTTTAATAATGACTTGGGAGGGATGACATTAAATTCATTGAAACTCTTTGGGATTGGCTGGAGTAGACTTTCAAGAGTGGTTCTTGCATTTACTTCTAAATCGTTTTTTTTTTTTAATGTAATATAATATATTAATGTAGTGTAATGTATACTATGCAACCTATATCATATAGTTACCACTGTATGATGTCTCCGTTATTGTGTGCCAAAAGTCTGATTACATTGAAGCGTTTTCTTTTTTCCCTGTTTGTTCCAGTTACCCTGCAGTGCACGAGGAATGGGGGGTTTGTATTGGTCGTAGCTCGAGATGCCACCCTTCCACACATCAGTTTAGACTCCATCCACCTGCTGGAGGATGACCCCCCTGGCCATTGTGCATCTGTCGGCAGTACTGCCACATTTGCCATCTATCAGTTTGCTGTTAGCTCGTGTGGTACCAGAATGAAGGTGGGTGTGAACGGAGGGAGTCATGGGGGAGAAAAAGCATGACACACTGTTATCTGTCCTATTTTATTTCCTTCAGGAAGAAAACGGTTTTATTATTTATGAGAACATCATGTCATCTTCGTATGAAGTGGGCATTGGACCTCGTGGATCAATTTCGAGAGACAGTTATTTCGAGTGAGGAGGGCTCGTCTCGTCATGCACTTTTGGAATTCACATTGATGGTCTGTTTTGTGTTTTTTGTAAGAAAATGAGTGGAAAAGGCCCTCAGTATTTCCTGTCTGTGTCTTGAAGGCTGCAGTTCCAGTGCAGGTATTCGGGAACATCAGTTGAGGCTCTGGTGGCGGAAGTGAATACGATTCCTCCTCCTCTCCCCGTCTCTCAGCTTGGGCCACTCCGAGTAGAGCTCAGGCTCGCTAAGGGAGAGTGCACCGCTAAAGGATGCTCTGACGGTAAGCCGAATCCTGAAACTAACTATTTGACGGCATAAACAATGCGAGTCAGGTTTTTCAAATGTGGTTTACTTGGCAAAATATGATTTGTACTGAAATAAAATCATGAACCTCATCCAGTTTACCAAATCATCCTGAAATGTTTCTTGTCAAACAAAGTAAGGTCACAAACATGGAATTGTTTTTTCTAAAGTTATAGAAATTAAAGTTTAAAGGCATGATACAAAAGTAACCGCAATTTCTATATACACTATCATTCAAAAGTGTTTTGAAAGGGGGATCTTATGCTTATAAAGGCTGCATTCATTTGATAATTACAGTAAATATAGAATTGTGACATGTTATAACTTTTCCATTTTGTAATATACAGTAGTCAACATTTGACGTGGTCAAAGTTGTACATTTTTAGTTTGAACTTCACATGTTGACTACTGTATATTAAAATGTAATTTATTCCTGTGATGGCTGAATTTTCAGCATCATTACTCAAGTCTTCAGTGTCACATGATCCTTCAGAATTCATTCAAATGTAGTGCTCAAGAATCCTTTTTGATAATCATCAATGTTGAAAATCTCAATGTTCTGCTTGATATTTTTTGTGGATACGGTGACTCTTTTCCCCCAGTATTTTTTTTAAAATTTTAATAGAAAGTTCAAAAGAACAGCATTTATTTACGTAGTAATTTAATATAGACTGGTATTTACTGGTATTAAATGCAGTTTAATCGTACTATCATTGTAGAACAGTGAGATGCAGTTAAAGGGATACTCCACTTTTTTTGCAAATAGGCTCATTTTACAACTCCCCCAGAGTTAAACAGTCGAGTTTTACCGTTTTCGAATCCATTCAGACGATTTTCTGATATTTGGGAGAATATTAGTAACCAGACAGTTTCTGGTCTCATTGACTTCCATAGTATATTTTTTTCCTACTATGGAATGGAAGTCAATGAGACCAGAAACTGTCTGGTCACTGATATTCTTCTAAATATCAGAAAATTGGCTGAATGGATTAAAAAAATGGTAAAACTCAAAACGTTTAACCCTGAGGGAGTTGTAAAATGAGCCTATTTCCCAAAAAAGTGGAGTATCCCTTTAATTAATTAATCTCCTTTTGCATTTAAGAGGATATGTACACTTCATACTACTCTGAGGAGGACTATCCTGTAACAAAAGTGTTGAAAGAACCTATATATGTGGAGGTGCGGATTCTAGAGAGGAAGGATCCAAATATTGCCCTGGTCTTGGACCATTGCTGGGCCACTTCTACTCCTGAACCCCTGAGCCTACCTCAGTGGGACCTAGTGCTTAATGGGTAAGTCTGAATTCTTTCATAGCTTCTAAATGTATAAATAAGTTTAGGAAACTTTCAAGCTTGCCACATACCTCAATGCCAAAAAAAAGATGTGATTTTTCTAATTACTCCTCATAGCTGTCCATATAAGGATGACCAATATCTGACCACTCAGCTTCCCGCTGGACCCTCAGGGCTGCAGTACCCGTCACATTACAAATTCTTTGTGGTGAAGATGTTCACCTTTGTAGACCAGCCCTCTTTTGAGCCTTTACAGGAAAGTAAGGTATGTATCATTTTCCCCATCGCATGTTTTTCTCTAAGCTCCGACTTATGTTCTTGTCCTCTGCCCTCTCTTCAACAGATTTTCATTCACTGCACTACGTCTGTTTGCCACCGTTCCGCCACTGAGACATGTGAGCCCAGCTGTGGCAGCAGGACGAGTGAGTGTCTGTGTGTATAGAGGGTGCAGGCCCTTTACATGCAATCACATTACCGCATGGCACAAGCTCACCCCCATATCATCCAAGATGGACATGTCTTTCTTTCTTCAGTCGAAAAGAAATTAAGGTTTTTGATGAAAACATTCCAGGATTTTCTCCATATAATGGACTTCATTGGGTACCAAACGGTTCAAGGTCCAAATGAAAGTTTCAGTGCAGCTTCAAAGGGCTTTAAACGACACCAGACGATGAATAAGGGTCTTATCTAGCGAAACGATCAGTCATTTAAATAAAAATAAATAAAGGTGAAGTTTTATAAGCACAAATGCTCGCCTTGCTCTGTTCTTTGAGCGTTCGTGACTCTCCTGTTCGAACTCGTTCATGAAAATGAACAGATCTCTTTTTGAGTCAATTCGTTCATCCATAAAGACCCTTATTCGTCGTCTGGTATCGTTTAAAGCCCTTTGAAGCTGCACTGGGAAACCGTTTGGTTCCCAATGAAGTCCATTATATGGAGAATAATCCTGGAATGTTTTCATCATAAACCTTAATTTCGTTTTAACTGAAGAAAGAAAGAAGTGGACATCTTGGATGACATGGGGTGAGTAAATTATCAGCAAAAGTACTACTACTTGTTGTGTATAAAATTAATTGCATTTATATACAATTATTATATTATGTAACAGCAAGTCAACTGGGTATAGCTACATGGGAGATTCTAGATATTGTTTATTATTATTAAATATGTGTATATTATATAATATGAAATATTAAAGCAGGCCAGTGAGTACAGCTATATGGAAAATTCTAGATGTTGTGGTATTATAATTAATATTATATAATTAAGTGTAGCAATAATTATATAATACATTGATAGCAAAGTATTATATCATGTAACAGTAAGTCTGTGTATATATGTGTGTGATGCATACATATACACATATTTATTTATACATATACATGTATGCGTGTGTTACAGACAAGTGAGAACGGCTACATAGATTCTAGATGTTGTGGTGTGTACATTTATTATTATAATTAATTTTGTA